GGAATCACGGGATGCAGACAGGGCTCTCCCCAAGCCTCATGGCATGCAGAGACCCAGAGCTGCAGCATGCAATGTGGTCTCTCAGGGTGAACACCGGTGACTCTATACAGCCCCAGTCACCACTTTCTCAGAGCTGCAGGACTCAGAGGGTAACTCTCCCAGGTCCCATATGGTAATTTCCTGTTGCGCTGGGGATTGTGCACCAGCAGATGCAACTCTGGAGCAGAAGAGTGCGGATGCAGCCTCCTCAGACCCCGTGGGCCACTGACGTGACTCTGAAACTCACCAAGTCACAGTCCTAGAGGGGCAAGGTGCATAAGGACCTTACCCAGGCCTCGTAGGACAACTGCCAGTTATTCCGGGGATTCTGGACTTGTAGCTGCCAGTCCAAAATAGAGGAACGCAGATGGGGCCCCCAACCCCCCAGGTGAGTGTGTCACTCCAAGACACAGACCCAGAATTACAGGACAGAGGGAACTGTCTCCGGTGACGCTGGGCCTGTGTCCTGACTACCCAGCACCGGGTGCTGAGAGATGCAGAGGGGAACTTCCTCGGGTCTGGGCCTCCGGGCTGGTGTGTGGCCCCAGGAAGCAGAGGGGAACTTCCCTACTTTGCACTGTGTGAGCAGGCATGGCTCTGGGGCTTGCGCCCAGAAATCCCACAGCTGCAGGATGCACAGGCCGGTGATCTGCCCTGCAACGTGCCCTGGCTCTGGGCACTTCTGGTAGTGACGGGGCTGCGTGTGTCCCTCAGGCAGAATGGCATTAAGGAAGGGCTGCACTGCAGGCAGTTCGAGTCCGGCACTTTGGGGGTGGAGAGAGGCAATGCGTGTTGGTTTTTTTGGAGCAAAGTAGTTGTTTGGCCCCTAGTCAGCCTTCCAGGCTGAATCAACCGCCAGAGGGGACTGTGGAATTATCCTGTTAGGGTTGTGGTTGTGGTCTTTGGTGGTGGCAGATTGTGGCACTTTGCTTTACCTTCTCCTGGCAAAATGGCATCTCCTGAGTCACAGAGGGAGAAGGAGAAGGGGGGGGGAGTGGGGGAGGGGGAGAGAGAGGTCTTCCATCCAGTCCCATTTTTTGTTCTGACTGAAGTTTTCTGTCAGTCTCCTGGAAACACGTCCTTCCTTTGTTCTAATTCCCTGTGGCAGAGGTGAGTGCAGGTCCCCTCTGTTCAGCCATCTTGATCTATTGTTCTATTTTAAACTCACTGATCCATCCCCCTCCATTCCATCCACTGAGTTTAGTTATTGTATCTCCTAAAATTTCTTCTTGGTTCTTCTTTACATTTTCTATTTCTGTGCTGAGATTTATTTCTCACTTCAAGCAAGTTCTTAATTGCCATTCGAAACAATTTCATGATGGCCACTCTTTCTTTTCAGGTGATTCTAACATCCGTGTCACGTCAGTGTTTGAGCCTGTTGGTTGTCTTTTCTCGTCCTAGTTGAAGGTTCCTGGTTCCTGGTGTAACTGATTTTAGAATGAAACCTGGACATTAGTTTTATGACTCTGGATCTTACTTAAATCTTTTTGAGCAGGTCTCCTCTGAGCAGTGTTGCAACCACAGTGTCATCTAATTTTCTACCAAGTGGGAGTGGAAGTCCATGTTCTCTGTTCTGCTTCCATGGACACCCGGGGAAGACGTGTCCGTCACTGTTGGATGGCTGTGGGAGTCGGTTCCCAGTGGGCCTCCACTGACTGCGTGGGGGAAGAAGCTCTTGTCAGAGAGACGTGGGAGCTTAAGGTCCTCCCTCCTCACTAATGCAAGTCTGGCTGGGTAGGAGTATTCAATGAGTCTTGGGATGGGAGTCCCAGCTCCACTCTTAGCTTTCTTTGGAACCATCCCAGTGGGGGGTATGGGAAAAATTATTACAATTTACTAAGTGTGGGAATCAAACTCCTCACTTAATTTTTGCTAGCAGGGTGGGGCTGCAGCTTTTGCTTTGCTGTTCGGCTAGAGCAGTAATTGTTTCAGTTTTCTGTCATTTTAAGCATTACCTTCTCTATCTGGCTAGTATCATGGACTATGTTCACATCTCAAGTCCCAAAACCTGTGAATATTACCTTATATGACAAAATGTGATTAAGGATTTGGGAACAGTTTATCTTGGATTATTCAGATATACCCCAAATCCAGTGGCAAATATCCTCCTAAGAAACACACAGCAGATATATGATAGGGAGCAGGCAGTGTGACTATGCAGACCGAACCCATAGAGACATCTAGTTTGTGGTAATGTATTGCAGCAAACCAGGAAGTAGGAAGGTAACAGACTTTGGTACTGGGAAGTGAGATGCTACTGAAAAACCACCTAAAAATTCATCCTGAATAAAATGTTGACAGAAATACAAATGTCAAAAATCCTTGTCAGCTGGACTCAGAAGAGAATGAGAAACATGTTATTGGGAATTAAGAAAAGGTTATCTTTGTTTTACAGCAGCAAAAATTTTGGCTACATTGTTTTACAGTTGTGTGAAAAGCAGAATTTGTAAGCAATGAACTGAGATTTTCAAGCAAAATACTGAGCGCACATCTTGGTTTCTCCTTGTTGGTTATTGTAAAATGTGAGAGGAGCAAAATAAACTGAGGAAGGAATGTTGAGGTAACAAGGAACAGCACTTGGTTTGCTTCTCAGCCTGTCCAGCTGGCAAAGAATGCTAAAATGAAGAATTTCACATCGTGCCATGAGACGGCCACGGGCGTGACTGCACAACCTTCTACTGAGGAGATCACGCATGGAACACGGTACTCAGACATTTCCGTGAATGCCAGGAGTGGAATGGATTCTTCTGGAAAATCGATGGAGGACTCTCTTGTGTAATGGTGTGGAACACCATGACATACACAACATAAGGTCCACAAGGTTTCTGAAAACATTTTAGCATTCTCCGAAAGTTGTCCCTTTGCAAGCCAGCTTAGATTGAAAGGGACAGATACAGGATGGAAAAAGAAAAGATTGCTTTTCTGCAGGCACAAAATGGGTGTTAGAACTATTAAGCTGTAAACATGCATTATCCTTCAAGAAAAAAGAACAGTGACTCCAAGGGCAAGTCCAAGCACAAGACAGAGCAGCACAGGCACAACGGGTACAAAGGCGCAGACTCCTGAAGTCACGGTGGGCACTCGGAGGCCTAAGGAATCACCAGGGATAGAGAGAGACCAGTGATGCCACTGTCAACAGACAGCAAGATTTGCAGGGTCATGTGGGCCCAGTGGGCAGAGCCTCAAGCCAGAGAGTGATTTATGCCTATTCCACTACTGTGTTCTGGAAGTGGACAGCTTGTCTTCTAGTTCTACAGATGGGTAAATTTTGTCCTAAGGTGGGTCATGCCCAGAAGCTCCTGGCTCCTGGCTTCAGATCGGCACAGCTCCGGCCATTGCAGCCATCTGGGGAGTGAAGCAGCAGATGGAAGACCTCTCTCTCTCTCTCTTTCTCTCTCTCCTTGACTCTCCTTCTCTGTGTAACTCTTTCAAATAAATAAATAAAAATCCTAAAAAAAAAAAAAGAGTTGGTGCTTTCAATGGATTGAGACTTTCACGGCTATTGGGATAGAATGGATATATTTTATATGAGGTACAAAAAAGATATGGAGGGTGAGGAGGGTGAGCTACACTGGGTTGACTGATGGTCCCCAAGATACATCGACATCTTAATCCTAAGAAACTATAACTACTACTTCTTATGGCAAAATATGTGACTCTGTTAAAAAACTTTGAGAAGCAATGCTTAGCTTAGATCTTCTAGATTGGTCCTAAATCCAGTAAGAAAAGACACACAAAGGAGACTGGGATGAAAGGAGGCTGTGGCAATACGACTCCAAGTCGGCTGCAAGTCAAGGATGGCCCCGAACCACCGGAAGCAGCAGGAAGCCAAGGACAGATCTCCCCTACACCCTTCAGAGGCGGTGTCCTGCCCACGTCTCAGTTTCAGATGTAGGGCCTCCAGAACTGTGAGGAAATAAGCTTCCATGTGTTATGCCAACCAGTCTGTGGTGGTGTGTCACAGCGGCCCCAGGGAAAGCACACCTCTGGGAGGGCAGGCTCTTCTTGGGCTTGTCTGTGTCCAGGTTTCCTGGCCCCTAACCTGGTAGGTACAGGAGACCAGGGCGAGTCCTCAGTCCCAAGGCCCCGGGACACTCTGCTTCCTTACCTCTTCCTTTCAGTCCTCTTATATTTGTTTTATAGAACGGCCAAGGACTTCAGCTATCCTTAGTGAGAAGTCTTCCGTTTTTTGGAAGAAGTCTCTCAGATTTTCTTGGGAACAGAAGTTCTAACTCCCAGGTTTTCACCTTCTCAATTACTTTGAACATTCCAGACATAAACTTTTTAAACCAATGCTTTCCTTGTGTTACCCGCTTGCTTAAAATTCTTCAGTGCCTCCCAGCTGGTTATAAAGTTAAGTCCATGGCCCTTAACCCAGCTTTCATTCCCTCTCCGATGGAACCCCACCCAAGTCCTTCTGACTTTACTTCCCTCTTACCAGGGATTTCAAAATCGAGCTTTATCAGACTCCAGTTCCTTAAGATGACAATAAATATTTTACACACACACACACAGGGGTCCTACAAAGGAGACTGGTAAACAGTGGGTTTATATAAAAGTTAAGCCAGTTTCTTTACTAAACAACCCTGATTTTTATCAACAAACACTGCAGATCTCCAAGAAACAACTGCGTATGAGGCGTTCCCCAGCCTGGCCAAACCACCTCGCTCTGGAAGCCACTCTGCTAACCCCCTTAGCCCAAGTTTCTTCTCCAACTACACTCACCTGTTTGGTTCCACCTCTGTCTTGCTCTCCTGCTCTTATACATGAAAGTAAGTTTGGTGAAATGCTGAGGCAGCGCTATCACACTTTTCTATGATCCAGGCACTGTTTAGTTGTTTATAAAAGTTTCCGTTAGGTTGGATTTTCAGTTCGGAAGTCCTAACAATAGGCACTATAAAACTGGATTGTGGAAGGAACCCTGTATGACTGATTGGGTCATGTGACAAAATACAGAAGCATTCAAAAAATAAATCCATTTAATAATACTGCTAGATGTTGTGAGAGGCAGGGCACTCCCGTGCCACCACCATCACACCCAGCTGTGTTTGTGCATGGATGGAGGGAGAGGTGGGCACAGTGGGCACGGGACAGTAGTTGACAGACACCTCTTACTCCTTTTCTCCTCCATGACAAATCACTCCCAGGTAATCTTTGGAACTCAAGAAAGGCAGGCACTGTTCCATCCTGGCCCCAGTGAGTCACTCTGGCCAGTGGTGGGGCAAGGCAGCGTGGGTGGCGCTCACCAGTCACTACAGCCTTGCTGAAAAAGAGGACGACCACCAGACTAGTAGTAAAAATACAATGTTAGCAGCAGTGAACAACAGGAAGGGGGGATGCGGCCAGGCCAAATCCATGGTTAAAAGTCTGTTTAAGAGAAGCCGAATCCAGATGAGACACTAGCTGTGAGGTGATGGAGCACAGGCGGCTCGGGCCTCTGGAGCCGGGGGCGGAGTGGGGGTCAGGAGGGGACAGGCCCGCACCAGGTGCCGCCCAGACTGTTCCGAAAGGTTCCCGTGCAGGCACCGCCTGTGGTGTGCCGGGCACACTGTACCTTGAGCACCTTCTTCATGGTGGAGGAAGCAGCTGCTGTGGCTTCGCTTCCCTGGGTGCTCGAGACAGGCCTCAGCGCTGGCCAGGCCTCTGGGATGAGGGCTTCCAGTGTGCAGACGACGGGCCGGCACTGCTTGCTGAGGGCCACGCCTTTGGTGCAGGCAAGCGCCCCGGCGGCTGGGAAGGGGACAGCCCTGAATGGGCCCTCGGCACGGCACGGCACGGCAGGAGCCGCTGCAGGAGAGCCGCCGCCACGTGGGTCACACCGCCTGCTCCGGCCTGCTCTGTTCCTCCTCCTCCGGCTGTAACCAGCTCCAGTCAAGAGTCTGAAAGGCAACAGGCCTGTTACCCGCTCGGCCGCCAGCGAGACCACCGAGGACGCAGCCAGCACAGGGCGGGAGTACACCTAAACCCTTGTGCTGGCAACACTCCTGTGACGGCAGGGACCCCGAGCTAGGCCATACAGGGCTGTTCTCTGGACGAGCTCAGAGGCCCCACAATTCTGTGCTACAGAAACTGGGAAGGCGATGCCGCACTACTTGCAGCTCACAGCCCTGATTTTGATGCTCTCTGCAGGGCCGGCCCAAGCGGCCTGAGGAGATGTCCTCTGGCGAAGAGCAGGTGAGCTGTTCAGCCCCAGGAGCAGTGCAGCGAGAGACACAGCAAGCCCAGGAACTGGAGAGGACACCTCAACAGACCAGAGGTGACTGCTGCCGTCTTCTCGGACTCCTCGGAAAATGTACAACCCCTGCAGGAGGCTGGGAGGCGACTCAGAGGTCTACGAATGCCTCTGGGTCCTCGCGGCAAGTTCAGCTTTGTCGCACTGTCCTTACATCTTGTTTTTCTCCAGGTTAGTTCCCGGGACTAATACCGCCTGCCACTAAGCTCTGAGTGTCTGAGGGGTGGGACCACGACAGGCTCCTGTTTTGTCACTAGAGCTGAGCAGGGTCCCCACCACAGATGTTCAGCAGTGGCCCAAAGGCAGGGTGGGGCAAGCCTTCCGGGGATATACTCCCTTGCTCATCAGGACTCTGCGACACGAGGATTAAGTAAGGTAACACTCACAACGTACCTACACACATTCAGTAACAGCCGCCTATCAGTATGAACAGGAACACGCATAGAGAACCACACACACACGCTGAGGTGGAGGGTGACCCAGCCGCCCCTCCCACTTTCTCTCCTGTGCCGTGGAGACAGGGCTTGGACAGCTGGGTTCGCACGGGCTGTTACCATGAAACTCTGGTCCTGCTCCTTCACGGTGTCCTGCATTGCGCTTTCCAGCTGGGTGCAGAGAGAATGCGCTTCAGCCACCAGGTCTTCACTAGAGAAAACGACCAAACTCTTAGGCAGTGGGCACTGTCAGTTAGCAGAGCTGACACTACTGTTTTAAATAGGCTAACAAGCTTTTGACAATAATTTAAAGATGACGCCCCAACTGTTTGACCCTGGGTGTCTGAGACCACCACCACGGCACTGGGTAGAGACCACATTGTCTCCTCAGGCACTGGTCAGGGGCCCAACGCAGCCATGAGCATCACCGATCAAGACGCGAAGGAGCAAACAGATCTCTGATAAAAAGTTGGGAGGAAAGGAGCTCTTCCTGGGGCTGGTGCTGTGGCGCAGTGGGTTAACGCCCTGGCCTGCAGCGCCGGCCTCCCATACGGGCACTGGTTCTAGGCCCGGCTGCTCCTATTCTGATCCCGCTCTCTGCTATGGCCTGGGAAATCAGTGGAAGATGGCCCAAGTGCTTGGGCCCCTGCATCTGCATGGGAGACCCCGAGGAGGCTCCTGGCTCCGGATCAGGTCATCTCCGGCCGTTGCGGTCATTTGGGGAGTGAATCAGCGGAATGGAAGACGTCTCTCTGTAACTTTTTCAAATAAATAAAGTAATTCTTAAAAAAAAAAAAAAAAAAAAAAAAAAGAGCTCTTTCTGACCTACCACATATTACAAGTTAACTCTCCAAACTGCCAGAGCCTAACGCTATCTCCCAAATCACCTGATTTCCAATTTCCTGAGACCTGCTGAAAACCAAGCTCTGGGACGTGATTCCGCCTGATGCGACCTCCCTGAGTAAGCTCAGGAACGGGCCCCAGCGGGAAGAGGAGAGTACAGGAAGTAATGCTTCCTTCTCAGACCATCGCCTCTGCACTCCCAGGCCTTTAGGGCCCTCAATGCTGAGTACGTCCTCACTCTGCCAAATACAGCATTCCAAGGAGCCTGGAGCGTGTCCACTAAACGCCGTCCACAGGCCGCCAGCTCACAGCTCAGTGCCAGCTCCAGAGGGCAACAAGGGAGGCCACGCCCGCTTGCTCTTCCCCAGGGGCTCACAGAGGCCGAGGAGAGTAAGAACCTACGGTCACGTCAGGGCGGGCATTTGGCACCACGTTTACAGTGCCACTTGGGACACTTGCTGTTACCGGCATTTGGGGAGTGAACCAGTGTGGGGAGATCTCTCTAGGTCTCTATGCCTTTCAAAAACAAAACCACAATCTGTCGTCCTGTAGGATTAAGTACCAAAACAGGCTACAAACACTCCAAGGACAGAAAGATTTTTAAGAACAGCCTGAGATAATCATTTGTATACCACAAAGCTCACCTGCTTAAAATGTACAATTCAGTGGCTTTAGCATATTCACAAAATCACGCAGCTATCAGCATATCTTGTTTCAGGACATTTTCATCCTCCCTGAAGGAGACCTTCCGCCTATCATCAGGCACTGCCCACCACCCTCTCCGCCTGCCTGAGGGACTCGTTCATCTACTTCCTACTCCCAGAGATTCGCCTGCAGGAATAGATTTTAACGTCTCCAGCACCCAGTGTCTGGCATACAAGAGATGCCGAATGAAAGCCCCATAGGAAGAGAGCGCTAGCATGTGCCCGGGTGCCCAAGGCTTCCAGTGCGGTGGATGCAGAGAGACGCAGACGTGGCATGGTGAGGGGAGGGACACCTGTGGCTGAGCTGGAGTACTGCGTCCCAGGCTTCACGTGCGTCAGAATCGACCAGGGGGCGCACCAAACGCAGACTTGCTGGGCCTCAGCCAGAGCTTGTGATTCCAAGGAAGACTGGCTGGGCCTCAGCCAGGGCTTGTGATTCCAAGGAGCCCGGGTGGGATGGGAGAAGGGCCATTCCCATAGGACTGCGGGTCTGGGTGGGACTAAGAAGCGGACTAGCACAGGGGCGAGCAGAACGGTGCGCAGATCCACGTGGAGGTGGCCACCACCGCCCGAGGAAGTCCAGACCCGATCTCTGAGATGGGGAGGGGAGTGAGAATGAGCTGCTGCCCACGAGATGACTCGGCTGCGATTCGGGGAAGACTGATCTGGCAGGAGAGGGCTTGGCGGCAGCGAGGAACAGGAAGCCGGACATGGGGAGCCCTGCAGGGAGGGCCTGGCCCGTTCTGTCCACCTGCAGTGCGCTGGATCAGGCAGGGGGACCGAAGAGGGGACGAGAGGCACCGAGCAGCTGGGTAACTCAGGGAGAGGTGAGAAGACGGTGACTGGCGGGGGGGGGGGGGGGACCGTGGTGTGGGGAGGGCGCCCCCGGAGGGAAGCTGCTCTGGAGGCGGCTGGCACTCACCACGTTCTGGGTAAGCAATGAGGCACAAGGAAGCTGGTGAGGGACTATTTGGGGCCTACACACATGGTACTTTGAAGCATTTGTGGAAAATGGAAAGAAAAGATGTTTATTTTTATACCCCCAAAATGCTGAAATCCATGTATTTGAGTGGTTTTCCCAAAAAATTCCTGAAAATGTTGTTTTATGAGAAAATGAGGCATGGATTTCAACTTTTTTTTTTGCGCCAAAATAAACTTTAATCCTTTTGCACGACGTTTTGCAGCACCCTTGTCTAGAGCAAACACAGAGCGTCTGCAGGTCATCAGCCTCCCCACGCCCACAGTCTCCAGCCGCACCCCCGTTCACCATGGCTTACCTCTTCTTGACCGGCTCAGGCAGGCTGTCGGAGGCAGGGGAAGGCTGAGACATGAGCTGACCAGGGTGGCTGAGCCGAGACGCGTTCATGCTGTCCGGACTTCCGCTGACAGGACCGCGGACCTTGCTCTAGGGACGAAACCGAAAAGAAAGTCAACAGCATCTTGGAGCCAAGTGATGAGGCCAGGTGTGCCTTCCGACCCCAGCACCTTCGCACGGCACCACTGCTGGTCCCGCCGTCCCTGGCCCCACGCCAGCGGGTCTTCCACACAGGCCTCTAAAGAGTTTTTCTAGACAGGAACACTCACTGGGAGAGGATCCGAAACAGGGAGACGTGCTACTTGCGGGCTTTATCTCATTAGTTTGATTCCTGCTAAACTCTTAGAAGAAAAGAAAAGGAAGGTGTTTTGTTCTCTTTTCTAAGACTGAGACACGTAAAAGGTTCCAAGGCTCTCTGGGAAGGCACCATGTTCAGCACAGCTGACAAGAAAATCAAGGTGTCTGGGACTGGCACTGTGGCACAGTAGGCTAAGCCTCCACTTGCAGTGCCGGCATCCCATATGGGCGCCAGTTTGAGTCCCGGCTGCTCCACTTCCCATCCAGCTCTCTGCTGTGGCCTGGGAAAGCCGTAGGGGACGGCACACATGCTTAGGCCCCTGCACCCACATGGGAGACCTGGAGGAGGCTCCTGGCTCCTGGCTGTGGCTTGGCCAAAGCCTGGCCATTGTAGCCATTTGGGGAGAAAACCAGTGGATAGAAGATCTCTCTGCCTTTCAAATAAATAAATACATTTTTTAAAAAGCCTACTTTGTAGTAAAAGATTTATTACAATACTGGAATAGTCACCATTGCTGTCTCCTCAAGGACAGCCTCTCCCCAGCACCACCCAGCCCGCCAATCCCGGCCCGGGGCTTGCGCACGTCCTCCTCCTTCGGCTGAAACCACACGCGCCGGCTACCTTGCTTGTTGCTCCCTCCGCTGCATCCGCGCGGCTCCCACGCCTGCCGGAGCTGCTTCCTGCCCTGCCCCGCCCTGGGCTCACTCTTGTCCTTGCTGTGCCCCTCACTGGCCAGGAACTCCCGAGGACCGGCGCCATGCCTTTCCCCGGCACCTCCCGTTCTCCACGCTGCTGGGCACACGGTCAGCATTCAGTGAATGCCGTGTGCATGCAGGTGGCAGACTAAGCCGTCACCTGTGTGAACCTCGCCTTCCCTCTCCTTCTCTGATGCTCCACCTCATCATCTCTCCTTTCCCACAGGAGGAAAATACCACTCACCCCTACCCCAGGCCAGCCACTGCTCCCGCGTGACCTGCATAAGCCTTCCTTCTCAGGAGTGTGAATCACTGCCCCTCTGACACTGCCCCCGCACCTGCGCCCACCATACGCAGCTAGCTCCCTCTCCTCCCCTCGGCCCAGAAGGCTGCTGCCGGGTAGCCCGTGCGCCCCTGCCACCCTCTCCCGCCGCCCACAGCCTTGCAGGATGGGGCGCGCTCTCCCTCAGCTCTGGCTTCCAGGACTCTGCCTGCCTCTGCTCCTTTCTCTCCTTCACTGTCCACCTCCTCCCTGAGCTGCACTCAGTGGCGTGGCGGCTACACAGATGAGGGACACAGAAAGCATGGGCTGCGATACTGCAGGTGCAGGTGAGGATCAGCCAGGGTGCACTGGCACCCACTATTATAGTGGCCTGAATGGGTGGCCTATGAAAGATACGCCCACGTCCTAACCCCTGGAAAAAGGGTCTTTGCACATGTAATCACGTTAAGGACACTCTGGACTGTTCGGGCGGGACCCAAATCCAATGTCTCGTGTTCTTGTGAGAGACATGCAGAGGGAGACACGGACACAGACGTGGGCAGACAGACAGGGACTGGAGTGAAGTGGCCACGAGCCACGGCAGGCCTGCACCACCGGAGGGTGCACAAGGCGAGAGGGGACTGGCTGCCTCACCGTGGCGCTAGCACCCCAGGCGTCACTTCTGTTGTGAGCCCCGCGCTGGCTATCAGCTACCAGACGCAGCTGCCGGGGGTTCTGTGGTGGCTCTATGCCTCCCCTGCGGGATGGGGCCCGTGGCACGGTGGGAGGGGCAGGGCCTAAGAGACCAGCGGGTCAAGGTCCGGGCCAGGCCTCGCTCACACAGGCAATCTTCAGGAGGTTCCACAGCTCCTTCTGCCGCTTCTCCTGCAGCCGAACCACGGTCTTCTCGTCCTCGTTCATCAAGCTCACCACCTCCTCCACCTTGGGCAGCAGCTCCAGCGCCTTCTGCTTGCAGACCACGGTCTTGCTGCAAAGGAGAACCATGCCAAAGCGCAGCGGCGTTGAACTGCGAAGCGGCTGACTGGCGGACGCCAACACTTGCTTCTCTGGCGGCTGAGCAGACCAGGGCCGGGCCGGGCTGGGCCGGGCCGCTCCCCACCCTCTCCAGGGGCCAGAGTGGGCCGTACCTGAGCTGCGTGTAAATCACCCGCACTTTCTTCTCAAAGCCTTGGATGGCCTGCAGCAGCAGCCGCACCATCTCCTGGCTGTCGCCGTCCGTGCGCTGGTCTGAGGACAGGGACACAGGTGCGGCTCTGCAGGGCGGCCGGCAGAGAGCGCCACGTCTCAGCAGCCACACCAAGGCTGCCCCGGGCAGACGTGGAGCCCCACTCACCTCGTGGTTTTTCTCGCAGCCGCCTGTAAAGCTCCCTGGCTTGCTCCTCTCTGCAACGTAAAAGAAGCTCCGTTCAGACCCCAGGTCAAATGCTCGCGCTCACCCATCATGACTGCTGACTGCTAGGAACAGGGCTGGCAGGGTGCTGTTTCTGTTTGTTTTGGAGACAACAGGGCGGGGACTGTCCAGCTTTGCCGGCCTTACACGGCCCACAGAATCATCTGGTCTGGCCCTGCAGGCAGGACTGGGAAGCCACTCAATCTACAGCGAGCTATCAGTTGATAAATGTGCGTGGCCTGCAAATGATGTTCTCAACAGCCAAGTGTCCCTGGGCAGAAAAAAGGTTCTGCAGCCTCGGAGACAGAAACAGGGAGGTCCCCCAGCTCAGGGCTCACCCTCCGACCACCCACGATGGCCAGGGCTGAGCGGGTGCCAGGCCGGAGCTGGGAATGCAATCCAGTTTTTCCATTAGGGTGACGGGGACCCAACTACTTGAACCATCACTGGGTCTGCATTAGCAGGAGCTAGAGCCAGAGGCCAGGCGCAAACCTAGGTCTTCCTGGCGATCTACCATTCCTCAACAGAGACCCAGGTGCCACCGCTGGGCCTGGGCCCCGGAACATGGCTCCCCTGGGAACACTCAAGCCCAGGGGGTGGGGGGACCCGGAGTCCCATCCCTGTCCCTTAACAGAGCGGAAACTGATTGACACTCTCAAAAAGGGTCATCCTTTGAACACTGGAAGAGAAGAGGATTAAATAACTACAGAAAACCCAGGACAAATAACTGAGCTTCTGGCACTGACTTCTTGACCTAAATGTGACGAACGCTGCTGCCCTCCCTGCCCAGCTCCCCCTGACTGCGCACAGTGGAGTGGCCTCCGTGTCACTTCCCCCATGGAGGACTGGTCCACCTGGTTCCTCTGCCCCTCCTCGGGCCCAGATGAACAGCTCCCAGGCCTGCCTTCTGTTCTGCGTTCCGCTCGCTGAGCCACCCTGTGTGAGCCGCGGTGTGGACGCAGAGCCGCCTCTCGGCGTGGGCGTGGACAGGGCCTCATGCCCCTGTGACGGCACGGCGCCCTTTCTGCTACTCAGCAATGTGGAATCGAAGGCTCAGAGGGCCGGCGCCTGCCTGGGCTCCTCGCAGGCACAGGTGGGACGGGCCCACAGAGCCTCCCGAGCCGAGGGAAGGTGTGCGGGCACTCACAAGTCGTCCAGCGTGCCCCCCTGCTTCCGGCCCATGGGGCTCCTCTGCAGGTCCACGATGTCGGTCTGCAGGGCCATCATCCGCTCCACAAGATGCTTCACTTCGTCCTCCTGAGGGAAGAGCTGTGCTGACGCCACCCGGCAGCATCAGAGCGGCCCGAGACGCACGTTTGCTGGGGCGGCAGGGTGGGGGCCAGACCCACACAAGACTCTCCACCGACTGGCTGGGCAGGACGCAGACCCCGGAGTCACCTTGGAGTCACGGCGCCTGGGTTCCGCTCTCCGTCTACCTCTCCCTAGCTGTGCAACTGCGGGCAACCCTCAGGTACGGCTCCCTCATCCCTAAAACACACGTCTCCTAGGGCCACTACGGGGGCGACGTGAGATCAGGGCGTGCGAGATCAGGCACAGGGTCTGGTATCTGAAGGATACTGAATACACACGGCCTTCGCGTCTCTGAATCCGTGCATCCGTGTGGCGTGCACGGATGACGGGTCCCAGGGCCACGGCCGGGTGAAATAAAGGACTGTCTGGCCAGCACCCACCCCGTCAGTACAGGTTCCTGAAAGCAGGCACCAGGAGTGCACGGGAGAGCCGTGACAAAGCTGTGCCGGGTTCCTGTGCTCACGCTTCCTCCCTCGCCTTCGTGGGCACTATCTTTTGGCGGCCCCTGATTGGCACTGCAGGGAAAAGCCTTTGGCCTAGTGCGTGCTGGTCATTCAACCAGGAGGTCTTGGCTTTTCTCCGAGGGCGCTCAACGCCTCGCTCCTCAGTTAAACCTGCATCTTCTCTGCCCATTCGTATAGCTCTGTGAGGAGCTACAGCAGGGCTCCCTTTACTGCCTATTCTCTCTCTCTCTCTCTTGGAGCTCCCTTCCAGCGAGTTTGGTGAAAGTCAAAGAACACAGCAAAGAAAACGCGGTTTCTGCCCTGAAGATCAACCTGGCATTTGATGCGAAAGCAGGAGAAGGCGGCAGCGAGCCTCATGCCCTTGGCAACACAGACACCCGAGAGTCTCCTACCCGCCCACACAGCTCCACGGCCTGTTCCATTTCCCTCCAGGCCAGCAGCAGCTTATCTGATGCTGGAAAAAAAAAGTGAAAAAGAAAAGAAAAATACCATAAAACCAAAACAGAAACAAGCAACTCTACTATCACAGGACAAAAGAAACCCCGTGAGAAGCACGGCCCGGCACGGTCCCCTCAGGCTCACTGCCAAGGGCACACTCACTGATCCCGAACTCGGTTTGCTCGCTGTACTTCTCCAGGTCGATCTGGATGCTGGTTTTAAAGAAGTCCAACTTGGCCTTGAGCTGCTGGGATATGGAAGCCATGGAATTCTTCATCTTGGAGAGGCAGCTGTTATTACGGAGGAGGTTCATCCTGCAGGGGCCGCAAGACACGGGACCTTGAAGCACCCTGGGGACCCAAATGCCATTTCCTGCATAGTGGCAGAAGCCCTCAAACATCAAGGGAGGTCCCTGCTATCACTATTATTATTATTATTACATAATAACCATAAGGACACTCTTCTAGTCCTTAGCAATTCATGAAGTTCTGAACCAAAACGGGAAGCAGGCCAGCACACACAAAGGGACACAAATCTAGCTTACACTAGCTGTGGCCACGCAGAGTGGGTACGTTTTTGGTAATAATAACTAGGGGAGTGTTGCTAACCCAGACTGCAACAAGCTCTCTGGGTTCCAGATTCTGTCCGCGGTCGCCAGCCCAGCCCGCAGCGTTGCCCTGGGCTCCACGCGCCAACCACATGCACCTCATCAGGGCTAGAAGAGGCTCCAGCCCACCCAGCCACTCGCCGCCCTTCCAAGCCAGTGTCTCCCTCGTTGTCTCAACGGCTGCTTCCGGGCCCCTGCCTCAGCCACCTCCCGCGGCCAGCGCCACCCGGCAGTTTCCAAGAGAGGAAGTCAGAGGGCGCCTGGCACCGTACATGGCAGCTCGCTGGCCCTGCTGCAGCCGGTTGCAGTCCTCCTTCAGGGTCTGGATGCTGTGCCAGACCTGGCCCCACACCTTCCTCAGCTGGAAGAAAGGGAGATTCCTCTTGGGCTCCTGAACTGGAAACAGAGGGGAAGGCCACCATGAACCACATCCTGCCTGCAGCCTGCCGGTGCTTTCACACTTAGAAACATTATGTAACTACTTTCCTATTATGCAAGTGTTTGGGTCTCCTGCCTGGTTCCTGCCGCCGACCTCTGTGGGACCTGTTCCAGCAGAAGTGAACCAGCGGGTCGGTGGTCGGTGAGGAACTGCGGCCTGGACTCAAAGAAGCAGCTCGGGAACCAGGTGGGGACTCACCCTCAGGCACCCAGGCCCACTGCTTTCATCAGAAGCTCTCTGTTCACAGAGTTTAAGGGGGAAAAGTTTTAAAAAAGACGCGGCTTCACTCAGCAGCACTGGGCATGCGTGAATAAACAAGAAGCCCGCAGGCTCTGAGGCCTTGGCCCCCGGCCATTCTCGGTGTGCGGGGAGGAGGTGGGGGAGATGCAGAATGGCCATCAGACATTCAAACAAGGGATCCTACACGGCCATTCCCGGAGGAGGCAGCTCCACATGGACCAACAGCGGGGAATCTCCAAACCACACTGCTGGGGGAACGAGGCAGCATGGAACCGCTCATGCCGCAGGCTACCCGAAGCCCTCGAGGGACACCCGAGGACCGGGTGAGCTTACTGGCCGGGGCATGGAGAGAGGGCACGGCCTACTTCTCACAGAATATTCATTCTCTTGTACTTCATGGTTTTGGTTTTGGGTATCATGATCATACATTAATTACTAAAAATATAAGTGAAGCTTCACAAATAAATAAAATGGCTCTAGGCAGTGGTACTCTCTGTCCTGTGTTTAAAGCTCCAACTCGTGAGGCTGGAATTGACCGATTCCCCGACTCCGCCAGGGCTACGGCCTGCACATCCCAAGCACAGAAGGCTGCCCCGAGCACGGGGCAGACGCGGCACCCTGAGCAGCCCCTCCCTGCTGTCTGGTCCCAAGCACTGTGACCGATCATTTGGCAAACAAACGACGCTCTTACGGATACAGCTGACGCTCTCAGGCTGGGGCCGCGGGGAGATCTGAGTCTCATAGGCGACTTTGCTGTTGTCAAAGAGAAAAACAAGATCCATGTCCAGGGTGCGGCCTTCATTTAGCTGCAAAAAGACAAGAACAGAATGCGATGTCACAGATCGAAGCCTTTCCCCTCCACCTGCTAACGGCGAGGCTGTCGGGGCACCTCCTGCTGCTCCCCGGCACAGCCTCCAGAAGCCTCCGCTGATGCCAGCCTGCACCTGTCCGAGCGCGTGCTGACCACAATGTGTTACCTTCTAGCTCCCTGGTGGTCTTTCCCGTGCAGCCTGCAAGTTCACTGAGCAATGCTCTATGCAAATGACTCTTTCTCAGGCTTTGCTTTGCTTGACAGGAAGTTGGGGGAGAACAGGAGTGCACACAGGCGCGCTCCCTCTTCCCACTTCCACAGGTTTGCTTCCCCAACGTCTACAGCAGCTGGGGCTGCGCAAGGCCAAAGCTGGGGGCTGGGGACTCTCAATCCAGGTCTCCTGTGCAGGTGGCAGGAAGCTGGACTTGAGCTGCAGCCAGGACTCAAACCCAGGTACTCAAACATGGGACACAGGCACCTTAACCGGTGTTAGGCGGTGTTACCCAGCGTCTTCACCAGCAGGCCAAACGTCTCACCCGCACCCACATGCGTCTACTTCATCTCTGTTGTTGGCTTATGACACACCACACCTTCCAACACTGTGGTGTGTGACACAGCCTCGCACAGACGTAGTCATAGATAGTGCAGGCTGACCCCGAGAAAGAAAGCATCGTTTTGGTCAGAACGGCACAGAAGGCCGCTCCCAGTGGTCTGGAAGCGACACGGGAGGCATGCAGCGATTCGGGCCGCACGGGGGAGCCACACTTAAAGAACAAGGCAGCCCGCGTGACAAAGCAGCCGCGATCTGAAAGTGAGAGGTGCTTCCCCGGGAAGGTCTGCGGGCAGCCGGGGGCTCACCTTGCCGTCAGAAATGCACTGCGTGGCGGGCTTGTCGGGGATCAAGGCCAGACCTGCCTCCTGCAGGAGCTCCTGGTCCTGTTCGGAGATGCCCGTGTCGCTCTGGATTCTGGCCTTTAAGCTCTGCAGGCTCTCGTCCTCTGACACTGGGTAGCTGTGAACGGTGCCCGTGACCATGTTCAGGATGTGAACCAGCTGCAACACAACCCAGGTGTTACTGGAAAAAACTGGTCTCCACGGATGCCCATGTTTGCCTAGACCCTCTGCTACTCCCAAGGCTGCCCGGTGCAGAGCGCGGGTCTCTGTGAGGAAGGGGAGCCGGGGCCCCTGTTTCATCTCTTCTCATGTTTAATAGTCCTGTCTGTCCACAGCAAAACCCTTAACAGCGATGTCCATCAGTCAGCACAGGGGTTCTGCCCTCTCCCCTGTGTACAGCCCTCTCACAGGAACCTAAACGTCCCCAGGGGCCAGCCCACCTTGACTGGCCTTGCCCTGGGCATTCTTTTGCTTCCGAGCTACTGCGTCCCACTGCGGGCCCGGCTGTGGCCTCGGGGCGGGTGCGGCTCTGCGCTCACCTTTAGGTTTAAGATGTCGTCCAGGGCCTTGAAGCAGCCGTTGGGCCCGTACGTGGGATCCGTGCCCCTCTGCCGGGGATGCCACATCAGCATCAGCTGCAGCCACTTTTCCAGGCGCTGGGCTAGTATGCTGCAAAGGATGAGGGTGTCGGGGGAGAGCCATGGCCAGCGCCAGCTGCCTCTGTGTGCAGGTTACAACGGCAAGCCTGGAGCAGCCCTTAGCCCAGGAAGGTGCTCATACCCCATTATCAGACTATCGGGGTTTGATTCGCGGCTCTGGCCTCCAGCTCCGGCTTCCTACCAGTGGCACACCCTGCAGAACTGCACTCAGGTCCCTGCCACCCACATGAGAGACTTGGATTGAGTTTCCAGTTCCTGGCTTCGGCCCTGGCTGCTGCGGGCATTTGGGGAGTGAACCAGTGGATGTGGGCTCTCTCATATAAATAAAAACATTCTAAAGGAATTGGCTACATCTTACTACTACATAGATGGCAGCCAATAAACAATTACCGAAAATGAAACTGGATTAAGCAGAGAGCAAAAGCACAAACATTTCCAAGCAATTTAATTACTTAGGTGCGTGTTCCATCTCCCCTGCCCTGCTAACTCAGCCCCCAAATCAACCACTGTCTACATTCTGATTCCTGAGACCAGACCGCAATGCCACTCACACTGCAAAGACTGGCTTGTTGACTACGACACAGTACTAGGCCACAGGAGTGCAAACAGAATGAGCTGTGAGTCCCCACCTTGAAAAGAGTTATCACTGGACAGGAGTCAAACCTGGTGCAAAGCCAGAAGGAACACAAGGCAGAAGTACGAGTGGTATTAAGAAGCACCAGGAAACGATTCTGTGAACCTGCAAAACAGGACTTCTAGGGAGATGAGGGAGGGGAATACATTCTAAACCGACGACTGGAGAGATGATGCCAAATGTTTAGTCCCAGGGTGATATGCTGATAATCTATTTAGAAGTTATCAGGGATAGACGTTCTGTACAGAGTTGTTAAGATGCCACTTCTCTGCTCCTGATCCCAGCTTCCTGCTAAACGCACACCCCAGGAGGCAACAGGGGATGGCTCAAGTACTTGATTCCCTGCCACACACGTGGGAGACAAGGATTCAGTTCCAAGCTCCTGGCTTTGGACTGGCCCAGCCTTGGCTATTACAGGCATTTGAGGAGTGAACCAGCAGGTGGAAGATCTCCTGTTTGTGTTTCTCTCTGCTTTTCCGATAAAAATGAATACTTTTTTTTTTTTTAAGTTATCCGATGTCATCTCAGACTTGTATTTCCTTCTTTTTTTTTTTTTTTTTCAAACTTGTATTTCTAAAAGAAGGAAGTAAAATAGGTAGAAGAATAAACCACTGTGTTTACCTGTTAAGATTGTTGGGGTAGGGTAAAGAGCTGGAAAACTTCACTGCACCGTTCAAGTCTTCACTAACGACAATGTCCATCTCACTCTTCTGCCGGACTTTCGAGTGCCTGCAAACGTGCAATCCCTCACGTCACTCAGTGGCCAAGGGTCAGCTCACCTTCGTCAACTGTAACTATGCAAGAAACGCACGCCCCCACCCCCGAGATGGGCACTTAATCTTTGGGACAGTGGTCGGCACTGCCTGGGTTTTCAAGCCTCTGGTGGGGCCCTTAACCACCTCGCACCCCGAGTTCTGCAGACAGTACTCTCCCTCTTTATCTCATTCTGGGCTCCCCTTTCATTTCCTCTACTTTCCATCTCATGTCATTCAAACAAACTCAGGCTTAGAGAAACTGAAGGAAAACCAAAGTGGAACCCAGGGGCCCCACACTTCCCTGGTCTCAAGGACTCGACAGAGCCTCATTCGGTGGTAAGGAAACAAAGACCAGGCACTTTGTCCAAAGTCCCACAAGCAGAGAGTGGCAGCATTGGGACTTAACTCTCAGTCTGCCGGTCTCTCACTCCACCTCAACGTCCAAACACGTTCTCTTCCCAAGACAGCTGGGAAATTCAAATAAAAAAATGCCTTTGTTTGCAGCTGTTCTCACTGGCAAGCAATAACTGGCCCACGGGAAGATCCGGAGGAGCAGATGGGGCAGTGGCTGCGGCCTCCAGCTCTGGGCAGGGCTGTGGGACCTGCAGGTCGGGGGTCCCAAGGTGTCCTACTTAGCTCTCTAACAGGGAACTTGGCCTGTCAAGAGAAAGCTGTAAAGTAAAAACTAAGTCAAAACCACTTTGTTTAGGCTGGTCCTAACAATTTACCATACCAAAACAAAACAAAACAAAACAAACAAAAAACGGCCCAAATTGCACTTGCCCTGCATTTCCTGTCTACCTGCCCTCGGTGATGAGCTGGCGAGGCTGCTGTGAGGTGCCCCGGCGCTGAGAGCAGCTGAGACAGGCTGTTCTCAGAACACAGCTCCCCACGGGCTTTCCGGGAAGCCCTCTGGCCACAGCGCGCAGGAGGGGAGCGCGAGGACGCTGCCTCTGTGGACTGCGTCTCCCAGGCAGGGCTGAGCGCCAGGGCCACGTTTTCAATGAGCACATGTTCTTCCTCTTCATCTTGTCGACAGTGGAAAAACTGGACGTCTGAACTGAAGAAATGCAGCTCTTCCTGGCCAGTGCAAACCACCAGGGATCTAGAGATGCTGCAGTGGGACCGCAGGGAGTCCTCAGCACTCCGGGAGCCGGTTTACAATGTCACCAAAGGGGGCGCACGTGGCCATCTCCCCTGGCCCCGCTTCGCTCAGCTTCCTAGCACGGGTGTCGGTACGAATGTGGAATCGAACTGGGGTGCCAGCACATAAAACCGCTCTTCCAGAACCAAGTGGAAAGGCTCCACTTTATTATCATGAAGATTCTCATGCGAGAAAAACTTGCTCACGACCCCCAGAGGGGGGCAATAGTGACTCAAAGGGCTTTTCTTTCTCCCGTGCAGAAGCAAAACCAAGCGCATACAAGCCAAAACCTCGCTGTTAATCACATATTTCTAGGATATTATCCAACTGTGGCTGTGCAAGGATTTGCCTTCCCTTGAAGGCTATTTTAAGAAGCAAGAATTATTGTTAAATTTTAGGCTGGCGCCACAGCTCACTAGGCTAATCCTCCGCCTAGCGGCGCCGGCACACCGGGTTCTAGTCCCGGTCGGGGCGCCAGATTCTGTCCCGGTTGCCCCTCTTCCAGGCCAGCTCTCTGCTGTGGCCAGGGAGTGCAGTGGAGGATGGCCCAAGTGCTTGGGCCCTGCACCCCATGGGAGACCAGGAGAAGCACCTGGCTCCTGCCATCAGATCAGCGCGGTGCGCAGCACACCGGCTGCGGCGGCCATTGGAGGGTGAACCAACAGCAAAAGGAAGACCTTTCTCTCTGTCTCTCTCTCTCACTGTCCACTCTGCCTGTCAAAAAAAAAAAAAAAAAAAAAAAAAAAGAAAGAAAGAAAAAAATTTTTAGGGAGTAAAAATTAGGACAGATAATGACAGATAAATGAAATGAACCACAGTACAGCTATTCAATGGAGTACTCAACAGGTATCACAAATACGGGAAACCATGGAGCATTTCCAATATTAAGTGGGAGAACAGGTTCTATGAGACTATGTATGGTAACGTATCTTCTTTAAGTATAAAACACTCACACAAGGGCCAGAGTCACAGAGCAGTGGGGTAAGCCTCTGCCCACAACACCAGCATCCCATGTGAGCCCAGTTCAAGTCCCAGCTGTTCCTCTTCTGATCCAGCTCTCCGCTAAAGTGCCTGGGAAGGCAGAGGAAGATGGCCCGAGTGCCTGGGCCCCTGCCACCCATGTGGGAGACCCCGATGGAAGTTCTAGTCCCCTGGCTTCGGCCTGGCCCAGCCCCTTGGTTTTGTGGCCATTTGTTTGGGGAGTGAACCAGTGGACAGAAGATGTCTCTCCCTCTCTCCAACTCTGCCCTTCAAATAAAAAAACCTAGTCTTTAAATACACACACACACACATCCACAGAAGGGCCTGGAGACACACAGATATGTTTCCAGACTGTGTGGTTATCCTTGATTCTTGTTTTATTACTATTTCCATATTTTCCAAAACATAAAAACAAAACAAAACTACTCTGGCAAAAACTAGGGATAATCAAATTGAGTGGGGCTGTTTAGACTCAACACGAGAACATTCTCTCAGTGCACAATGCTTTGAGAGCACACGGGCAACATCCGTATCATATTACTGTTTTATAAAGAAGGTGGAAACACTGAATGAACAAACAGTGCCATTCACCTGAGTGTGTAAAAACACCCACGGATGTTGAGGAAAATCAATGGCATCAGATGTCTGTGGGGAGGGAAAACAGGTGGCCCGGATGCTGGACTGAGTTGATTTTTCACTGTATGTTCTTTCATAGCATTTGAAGTTGAACCATGTGAACTCATTACTGCTCCAAAAAACAGAAATAAGACTTGAAATAAAAAATTTTGAGCAACAGCAATATCATTTGAATGAGTAAATGGCCTCTCCAGGAACAATTTGGAGTGAAATCTGACTGGGAGAGCACTAACTTTTAAATTACGTATTTCAAGGTGCTGGTGTTGTGGTGTAGCAGGTTAAGACACTGCCTGCAGAGCCAGCATCCCACATGGGCGCCAGTTTGAGTCTTGGCTGCTCCACTTCCGATCCAGCTCTTTGCTATGACCTGGGAAAGCAGTAGAAGATGGCCCAAGTCCCTGGGCCCCTGCACCCGCGTGGGAGACTGGAAAAAGCTCCTGGCTCCTGGCTTCAGACTGGCCTGACTCTAGCCGTCAAGACCATTTGGGGAATGAACCAGCGGATGGAAGACCTCTCTCTCTCTGTAACTCTGACTTTCAAATAAATAAATATTAAATAAATCAAGAGATTTTAATTTACTTAAGAGTTACAGAGATAGGTAAGGACAGAGAGAGAGCTCTTCTATCCACTGGTTAACTTTCCAAATGGCTGCGATGACTGGAGCTGAGCTGATTCAAAGCCAGGAGCCAGGAGCTACTTCTGGGTCTCCCATGTGGGTACAGGGGCCCAGGGACTTGGCCCATCCTCCACTGCTTTCCCAGGTGCATTATCAAGAAGCTGGATGGGAAGTGGAGCAGCCAGGATTCAAACCAGTGCCAATATGGGATGCTGGCACTGCAGGCTGGGGCTTTAACCCGCTGAGCAATAGCACCAGCCCTGATAAATAAATCTCTTTCAAGAAAGTTTAATTGTGTCCTCCGACTTTATTAGAGAACGTGTTTTAGAATTTTCAGGTTCATATCTTAATCTCCTCTCTTAAAGCGCTCTATCCTAGGAAAATTGATCAGCAGAAGTCTCCAGGCTCGAGCCCAAAGTGCCTGGGGAGGAGAAGGCACAAAGTGGCCGGCCGTCACTCACCACTGCACAGGCTGCCAGTTGGGAAGGAAGGGTCTGAAGCCGGTGATGCACTCGAAGGCCAAGGTGCCGAAGCTCCAGTAGTCCACGGTCACCGTGTACTTCTGCTGCTCCAGCAGTTCCGGGGCCTACAGCGACAGACACGGTGCCGGGCAGGGCTCCCATCACCCACCATCCCAGTGCCCCGGCCTATCCGGCGGCAGGTGACCACCCAAGCGTGCCTCATTCGCTCCCAGTAATGCAGACAGAAGGGCAGGGGCAATTCTGAGATGGGTCAAGCCCACCGTGCTTTCAGCTCCCCCCTTTACACACGGGAACTCATGAGCAGCGGCTCAGGCCGGGCCACAGCTGCAGGTGGTTTGTAGACGGGAGGGTGGGCTACACGGAACCAAGGAGAACAGCAGCAGAAGACACACGGCACACGCGTCGTAAGTGCCAGACGCCCAGCGCGCGCATCATACACAGCAGGCACACAACACACACACTGAGTGCACCAGATGGCCGGCACGCATATGCCTCATAGGCGCCAGAGACACTCAGCACTCACGCCATCCGCACCAGTCGTCCGGCAACGCATCGCAGGTGCCCGATGACCAGCACTTGCCAGGGCATGCATCGTCCGCACCAGATACACGACGCACACACTGAATGACCACCAAACACCCTGAACCGAGTTAACACCTGACCACACAACAGGGCGGGGTGGTTACACTCTGGCAGGGACTGCTGCCAAAGCGAGGGAGCGGGGGTGGGCGTGGGGGACCAGGACGGGCCACAAAGCTGGGCTCAGAAAGCTCTTCACACGAGCGGATGGGAGGGGCCGTTCCGGAAAGGGCCGTCATGGCAAAGGCATGGGGACAGGCCTGTGCACAGGCTGGCGGGAACTGTGACACTGGAGGAAGAACAAGGAGTCCCAGTAAGAAATGTGGGGATGTTCGGGTCAATCTGATTATCTACAAATAATCCCGCAGGTGAGTGGTGACTCAGCAGCGGGTCAGAGCGCTGGGGTCTGTCCCTCAGCTCTGAGCCTGGGCAGTGCTCAGCGGGCCCTACTTAACTACTCGTCCGGGGCAGCCAGGTGCCTGAGTCAGCCCCACACACGTCAGCACGCTGGGAACCGGGTCACAGAGAAGCCTGGCACCCAGTCGGCAGGCTTCAGCGATAGGATGACTGAGGTCAGCCAGTCGAGCGCCTTTCAAGTGCCTGCTACACAAACCGCCGAGGCTGGTGTCCCGGAGGAATGAGGGACTCAGGCAGAACCCCGACATTTAGGCTGGAGTATGCAGAGGGCGTGGAGCGCACAGCTCTGGCTGCTCCTCGATGCGTGAGACTCCTCACAGAGACCGCGGTCTCCACGCCAGCACGCGTCTACTGCATGCTCTTTATCCTCAGACAAAACACTGAGGCCGGCGAGGTTATGGGGCCTGGGTAAGGGAGCCAGCCACGCCCTCCGGCAGCAGAGACAAGGACCACATCCTTCCGCAGGGCCTCTGGGGGCACAACAGGCTGACGTGAACTGGTGACAGGCTGGACCTCACGCCGGAGACCACACAGAGCCGGCAGCACGGGGCTGCCCCACCACCATGGCCACCAGAGAGAAGCTGAGAGGCAAACGTAGATGCCACTTCTTACCAGGTACTGCAGGGTCCCCACAAAGGAGGTACAAAGGCTGCCCTGATCCAGTTCCTTGGCGTATCCCAGGTCAATGATTTTGTGTATTAACTGAAAAGGAAAGGGAGGAGGGAAAACCTGAGGGTTAGGAGGCGACACTGTCCTTCTACAAGGGTTCTGGTCGCCTGCCCTTAGAGCTACGTCATTTCTAAATTCCCAGGTGGGATGAGATCCTGAATCCCTAAGAGCCACCACACACAGGAGGGCGCCCTTGTACGGCTCATGTTCTCCTGGCTCGGCCGCTGGTCAGATGGACGCACCGTGCACCAGACCTCAGACCCAGAGCCCGGGTCAGCCCCTTCCCGACACTCCCTAGCTGTCACATCTTAGCATCGCCAGCAACGTGAGCGAGCGCTGAACAAAGGGGAGCCTGTGGCTGTCAGAGGCCGGGCCTGGGAAGGCCATGTGTCTGAAGGGATCAGGTGTCCTAGGAGCCAAGGGACCACGGCCCCTCGGCTGAGCACACCAACCTCCACCCCTCACCCCACCTAAGCAGGGTGGTCGTTGATCAGCTCACTCACAGCTCTGGGGGACTGCGAACTGGACCAGGCTGGAGGAACAGGTGCCCCAGCTCTCGATGCCCCTTCCCAGCCACGCTTGGAAGCAGCTAGTGTAGCCGCTTTGTACACTAGCAACCAAAGTGGAGGCCCTCATAACAAACGCAGCCTGCTTCTGAGAAGCACTGGTCCCAAAGGCTGGGGGTGGAGGCAACAAACATTAGGTTCTTATCGGATTCCTACAACGTGGGCAATTAACAATGGGAGCCATTCAAACTGGCCTCCATCTGCAAGCAAGGACTTGTTGCTGAATTCTGATCCCCAGAGAAGCAAAGCCACCAGGCGAGGAAATGCAAATATAAACAGGCGTACAGAGCTGCTCCTTTCCCACGGGCAGCTGCCCCGAGCACTGCCCACTCCCCTGTGCTGGGAGGCCACTCACTCTTTGCTCTCCTTGCTGCAGAACAATGTTCTCCGGCTTCAGATCTCGGTGGATGATTCTGTTCTCATGGAGGTATCTAAGCGCAGAGGCTACGAGGGCGCAGAGGGAGTGAATTCTCAGTAAGCCAGAAACGCGCTCTCCATCGGAGCGTCCTGTGCCCCTGAAGTGGGCCGCAGCCTTAGTGTACAAACTCTCAGTGGAGCTGGGGAGGGGAGGGGGGGGTGACCAGGCTACACTGGCAGAGCCACCGGAATCTGGATTTTCCATGCAAAGAAAAGGCTCTCAGCCTGGCGTCCAGGAGGCGGCCAACCACAGTCGAGAGCAGCAGGTGGGCCAGCAGCATCCTACTGCCTCAGACACCCTGGGGGACCCACAGTCTGAATCGGCAAGTCCAGGTGACGCTGACACCGACAAAGTTTGAGAAGAGAACTCTTCTTGGCTACAGGCGCAAAAATCTAAATTCCACAGGGTGGGCAGGGAGGAGGGCCCTTGGGGCCGAGAACACCGTGGCCCCAGGGTCTAGAGTCTCACAAGGTCAGAGCCAGCTTCCAGGGAGAAGTGGGAAGTGGGAGAAGCCACGAGGAGAGCCTTCAACACGTGTAGACAGTTCAGTGGATTTACTACGTGCCCAGCTCCCCGAAGGGGTCAAGAGCTCAGCACGCAGCTGGGAGTGAAGTCGTCTGCACAACACTGGCTGTGAGGTCATTCGCTGGCCACAGCTTCTGCCGGGAAGAGGAGAGCGATGTCGCCCAAGGCTCAGGGCCACGGGGGTCTGTGTGTGTGGCTCAGGCTCCAGCCCAGAATACCTCGCCTTTACCCGTAAGAGAGGCCTTACGACTTTAACCGAGATCCTGGCTAACTGTACAACCAAAGGAAAGACCCGACAAGCATCGAAAGGAGATTAAATAGGCCCGGGGAACTCAGACTACAAACTGGAAAGTGTAAGTTGTCTGGAAACCAAATAAGCACACAGAAGTCAACAGCTTTTCTGTCAACTGCATCTAGCTGAAACGGAAAAGGGAAAAAAAAATCCACTCACAGTAGCAACAAAAACTGAAAACACCATGGGGTAAAAAAGAAAGAATCATGCTTTGTGAAGAAAACTATATGACGTAAGTATAAAAAATTATCTAAGAAGCTTTCAGAAGTTTATGCTGGGGGCCAGCGCTCTGGCATAGTGGGTAAAGCTGCCACCTGAAGCGCTGGCATCCCATACAGGTAATGGTTCGAGTCCCGGCTGCTCCACTTCCAACCCAGCTCTCTGCTATGGCCTGGGAAAGCAGTGGAGGATGGCCCAGGTCCTTGGGCCCCTGCACCCACGTGGGAGACCCAGAAGAAGCTGCTGGCTTTGGATCAGCGCAGCTCCAGCCGTTGTGGTTATCTGGGGAGTGAACCAGCAGATGGAAGACCTCTCTGTAGCTCTGCCTTTCAAATAAATAAATAAATCTTTAAAAATAAGTTTGGGATGAAAAAAAAATATTCCTAAAGCCTAAAGCCAAAAGGACTGGGGGGAAAAAAAGCTGCAGTTCATACACCAAGCCAGAGGCTCTGCCACACCAGGGAGAGGGGCAGCTGCCGGAGGACGCAGACGCTGGAAGCACACCAGCTCCCAGGCGCGCTCACCAGCGGTCCGAGCAGCACTCGTCACCACAGCAGTGAGATGCCCTCTTCTCCCTCTTCACCCTGAGGAATCCCAAATGACAAACAACAGCACTCCATATTGCTGGGGCAGTAAAAAAAAAAAAAAAAAAAAAATCAATGAATATTTTCTGGAAAAGTAATCTGGCAACATCAATTCAATGTACTGTTTGGCCCACTATTTCCGGCTATGGGAACCTAGCTTATGAAACCAAAGCATCCTGGCCGGCGCCGCGGCTCACTAGGCTAATCCTCCGCCTAGCGGCGCCGGCACACCGGGTTCTAGTCCTGGTCGGGGCGCCGGATTCTGTCCCGGTTGCCCCTCTTCCAGGCCAGCTCTCTGCTGTGGCCAGGGAGTGCAGGGGAGGATGGCCCAGGTGTTTGGGCCCTGCACCCCATGGGAGACCAGGAAAAGCACCTGGCTCCTGGCTCCTGCCATCGGATCAGCGCGGTGCGCCGGCCGCGGCGGCCATTGGAGGGTGAACCAACAGCAAAGGAAGACCTTTCTTTCTGTCTCTCTCTCTCACTGTCCACTCTGCCTGTCAAAAAAACAAAACAAAACAAAACAAAAAAACCAAAGCATCCTAATGTACGTGTAAGGCCACTTCCTGTGTAACACACATGTGAGGATACTTGCTGCAAAGCTTGGAGTGACATAACCAGGAACGAACTGAAATTCGACCATCACTGACTGCATGAACACACTACAGCACACCCACATTATAACAGGTAACTCTTAAAATTTATGTATTATTTTTGGCCTCGGATATCAGTACTGTACTACTGAGTTACTGGCATTACCTGCTTTTTGTTTTAAATAAAGGAAAGAAGCAAAAGCAGCCACAACACTGAGAGGTTTAATCCCGAGTGTGCGTTCTGTGTGTCTGCCTCACTGGTGACAATGAGGACACAGCCCAGGCAAGCCCAGTGAGAGGCAGTGCCGCGGGGCCCTGTGAGCAAGTCTCAGAGACAGAGGGCCCTGGGCAGGACAGCGGAAAAGCAAACACGCTCTGGAGAGACCTGCAGCCACACACTTCCTCAAGCCGCATTGGAAAGTCAAATCAGAAGAGCTAAACACGGATGCCAGCTAAGCCAAGCTTCTATTTATGTCTGCCTGGACCATATAGTTCCAACAGTCCATCGTTACTCCTTTTCTTTTCCTTCCTAAAGCGACACAGAAGCTCCGAGGAACGTCTGGAAGGAGTAAAGGACCCACTGCCTTCCACGTGCCCCCAAAATTCCACTCCTTATCTTCAGCTGTATTCACCTTTAAAGACCAATCTTTTGGGGGACAGCTCTGTGGTGTACAATGTTAGGCCTCTGCCTACAGTGCTGGCATCCCATATGGGTGCTGGTTCAAGTTCTCGTTGTTCCACTTTCAATCCAGCTGCCTGCTAATGCAGCTGGGAAAGGAGCAGAAGATGACCCAAGTGCTTGGGCCCCTGCACCCATGTGGGAATCTGGATAAATAAATATTTTTTTTTCAAATAAATTTTTTCTTTAAAAAATAAGCATTTACCCTGTTCAAACTTTTAAATTTTTATTTATTTGAAAGCTGGGAGGAGAGCGGGGAGACAGAGAGACCCCACATCTGCTGGTTCACTCCTCAAATGCCCACAACACTGGGACTGGGCCAGACTGAAGTCAGGAGCTGAGAACTCAATCCAGCTCTCCCATGTGGGCAGCAGGAACCCGAGGATCTGAGCCGTCACCTGCTGCCTCCCAGTGTGCACAGTGCTAGCATCAGGAGCAGAGCTGGGATGTGAACCCAGGCGCTCTGATACGGAATACGGGCGTGCCAGGCGTGCACCAAATGCTGCCCCCGTGCAAACTTTCAAACCATCCGCTGGTGTTTCCTGGGACGTCAACTGCATGGACAGGGTTCAAGTGAAGGACCTGCCACGGAGAACAACTTCCTCCTGTGAGTCTCATCAGCAACAGTGCCCAGGCACTTCCACTTTCCCCTGGATCCTGAGGTAGAACAACCATAAAGACACTTCAAAAAGTGTGCGGAAAAAGGGGAATGAAAAGATAATTTGGTGCAAAAAGAAAAACAGTGAAATCCATGCAGTCTTTTTTATATAGAATCTGCAGTTTCCATGAGCCTTCTGAAGAACTTCCACAACTGAAGGCCACGAGAGTCCTGTGGAACCTGCTGATGAAGCCGAACTCCAGCCACGGCCCTTGCTTGTGGTCAGCTGACAAACCGCCAATCAGGGAGCAGAGGGGAGCGGCCAGACTTCCACGTGGACTTCCCATTGACCACACTACAAAGTTTAAAGGGATGACCAAGCTCCCTGGAGAACGAAAAGTTTGCAATGCATTCCATAGAGAAGAGAAGACCAAAAAGTTGAGGCGAGATGAGACGAGAGAGAAACAAAGTCACCAACTGGTGGCCCACGTCACCACGGAGCAGGAAGGGCACCCAGGTGTGCATTCACTTTGTGAAAATGGACTGCGTGCCTACTCCATGCCAGCCATGTGTCAGTGGATTTTCCCAAAAAACAAGACTGGCAGGCCAGCCATGGACACGCGGAGAGGCTGAGCCTCACTCAGGTTTTCCTGTTAGACCGGTCTCTGACTAACCAGCAAGGTAGCACGGGAGCAGCACGAAGCACTAAGAGGAGAGCACACAATTCACCTCCTCCCTCACTCGAGGAGAAGCCGTGAAGTACCTCGTTTGCCAGGCACTGCGGAAGCATCTTCCTCACTTGCTGCATAGATGCTGCAGGCGACTGGCCTCGAACACAGGTCAGCCCTTACTGCCAAGGCAGAGGCAGAGACCACACGACCATGTCGACTGTAAGTGTGAAACCAGGGGCGGAAGAGTTCTACAAAGGACTCAATGGAGAGAGAAACAGGGACACGCGAGGGAGGCCACGGCACATGGGGACCACGCAAGGCTAAGAGGCGTGGCCTTATCTACCAGTGGACTATGATGACCGTGTGCTGTCAGACACATGGGAGGTAGAAAAGAAGGCCAGGTAAGAGGTCATCACGGTGACTTCCCATGACAATGAAATTAGTGGAGGCAGTGGAATACACAGGGAATATGGGCTATGCAACACAAAGGACACCTGAATGAATTTAGAAACTCAAAAATAAACTCTATTTTGGGGCCGGCGCTGTGGCGTAGCCGGCATCCCATATGGGTGCTGGTTCAAGTCCTGGCTGCTCCACCTCTGATCCAGCTCTCTGCTGTAGCCTGGGAAAGCAGTAGAAGATGGCCAAGTCCTTGGGCCCCTGCACCCACATGGGGGCCCAGAAGAAGTGTCTGGCTCCAGGCTTCGGATTGGTCCAGCTCTGGCCGTTATCACCATTTGTGGAGTGAACCAGCGGATAGAAGAGCCCTCTCTGCCTCTCTGCCACTCTGCCTTTCAAATAAACAAATAAATCTTAAAAAAAAAAAAACAAAAGCAAACAAAGAAACAAAAAACTGTATTTTGCAAAG